TCCAGTGATGGCTCCATGGTAATTCTCAGGGTGGAGAGGAGCCTGTGCAAGACTGACAGGAAAGCCGGAGGTCAGATCTCAAACAGAAGAGAAGATGAACCAGCAAATCCATGAAAAGTAAAGTTCAGCTACAGTGGACTTTATTTTTTGGAGGAGGCACACTTTAACCCCTTGGCGCCGGCGCCTCCCGGCCCTTTAAGGGTTCCAGAAGCCGGGAGGCGGAGTTTAGGGTCATGTGACCGACATGATCGGGAAAGGTCCCGATCGAAAGAGGAGATCGGGACCTTTCTGCGAGTACTGGACATGTGTGCTGGGAGTGTGCAGGGTGCGCACTCTCGGCACATATGTCCTTTTTTAATAGATCGCAAATGTGCGGCCGCTCGGGCGTCTAGGCCTAGGCGTCGGGAGGCGTGAAGAGGTTAAGAAAGCAAAAAAAAAGAAAAACAGTTCCATTGGACGTATTGTATCCAGACGGGAACTTTTCAAACTTCTCCCTGAGCCAATACTCTAGAGAAAGGGGCAGCGCGCTCCGAACGACACTAGAAAAACACAATGGCCGGGTCAGTACAGATTACGATCGATCGGCGTCTGGGCGCTATTGATAGGCTCAGCAAGGCTGCCAGAGCCGGAGTCTAAATCTCTGGGGTAAAATACGGCACAGATTACAATCACTCTAAAGACAGATGTGTATTGCGGCATAAACCGCCAACGCCAATTCAGAAAAGGCAGCTGAAAATTCAATAGTCAGCCGGGAACATTTCTGAACTATAAAAACTGAAACGACGGACGATTTTCAGCGGCAATGACCAAGAAAGTAATATAGAAATATTGAGCTGATAGCCCGGACGGGGACGTCTATCACATCCTCCAGGTTATGCCGACGGCAAACAATTGTAACAAACATTTCCGATTGGCAATTTAACTACTTCAAGTCCGGACACTTTTACCCCCTTCCTGCACAGGCCATTTTTCAGCTTTCAGCGTTGTCATGCTTTGAATGACAATTGCGCGGTCATGCAACACTGTACCCATATGATTTTTTTTACCTTTTTTTTTTTTTTGACAGATAAAACTGTATTTTGGTGTTATTTATTCAACACTGGGATTTTTATATTTTTTTTTGCTATATAAATGAAAAAATCCAAAATTTATTTTAAAAAGTGTTTTTTACTTATAAAATTTTGCAAATTAATAATCTTTCTTTGTAAATCTTGGCCAAAATTTATTCGGTTATCTTTTTAGTGAAAAAATAAAAAAAAAAAACAAATTAGTTTATAACCAAACATTATCATTTTTCCAATTCTTTTTACATTTTTATATTATTTATGTTTTTTTTTTTTAACATACTGTCACCCTAGCAGTACAGTGTCACCATAGTGACAACACTGTACTACTTGTAGGGGGCGATGATTTTTTTTTTTTTTTTTTTTACACCCATAAAGGCTGTAAAAACAATCATGTCTCCTTCTCTCTGGCTGCATTCTTGCAGCCATTGAATTAATTGAATTAATTAATTTAATCTCTAGTCTCTTTTTTTTTTTTTTTATCCTCCACATCTCTTCTAACACTCTGCTAAAACTTTGTGATTAGTAATGCTTGGACCATGAAGAAGGGGACATACCCCGAAAGCTTTTCCTCAAAATTGAACGTTAGTGCAAATAAAAAAAAGTATCACGGACATTATAACCAAACATTATCATTTTTCTAAATTATTTTTATATTATTATTTATGTTTTTTTGTTTTAACATACTGTCACCCTAGCAGTACAGTGACACCATAGTACTACTTGTGGGGGGTGATGAAGATTTTTTTTTTTTTTTTTTTTTACACCCATAAAGGCTGTAAAAGCAATCATTTCTCCTTCTCTCTGGCTGCATTCTTGCAGCCATTTAATTAATTGAATTAATTAATTAATTGAATCTCTAGTCTCTTTTTTTTTTTTTTCATCCCCCACATCTCTTCGAATATTCTGATAAAACTTTGTGATTAGTACTGCTTGGACCTTGAAGAAGGGAACATACCCTGAAAGCTTGTCCTCAAAATTAGTTAGTGCAAATAAAAAAAGTATCACGGACAGTACTCAATTGTTTCTGCAGCCATTGAGAAATACTGTGAGAGCTGTGATTGGTCACACTTTATTTTGGGCACTTTCTTTCTTTTTTTATTTATTTAAATGAAAAAGTGATTATCTTATAAAATTTTGAAAATAAATAATCTTTCTTTATAAACCTTGGCCAAAATGTATTCGGTTATCTTTTTAGTAAAAAAAAAAAAAAAAAAAAAGAAATTAGTTTATAACCAAACATTATCATTTTTCTAATTTTTTTTTACATTTTTATATTATTATTTATGGGTTTTTTTTTTTGTTTTTTTTTTAACATACTGTCACCCTAGCAGTACAGTGTCACCATAGTACTACTTGTGGGGGGTGATGAAGACTTTTTTTTTTTTTTTTTTCTACACCCATAAAGGCTGTAAAAGCAATCATTTCTCCTGCTCTCTGGCTGCATTCTTGCAGCCATTGATTTATTTGAATTCATTAATTTAATCTCGTCTCTTTTTTTTATTTTTTTTTTTTTCATCCCCCACATCTCTTCTAACATTCTGCTGAAACTTTGTGATTAGTAATGCTTGGACCTTGAAGAAGGGGACATACCCCGAAAGCTTGTCCTCAAAATTGTACGTTAGCGCAAATAAAAAAAGTATCACAGACAGTTCTCAATTGTTTCTGCAGCCATTGAGAAATACTGTGAGAGCTGTGATTGGTCACACTTTATTTTGGGCTACTTTCTTTATTTTTTTAATTACTTAAATGAAAAAGTGATTATCTTATAAAATTTTGCAAATTAATCTTTCTTTATAAATCTTGGCCAAAATGTATTCGGTTATCTTTTTAGTAAAAAAAAAAAACCCAAATTAGTTTATAACCAAACATTATCATTTTCCTAATTTTTTTTAACATTTTTATATTATTATTTATGTTGTTTTTTTTTGTTTTAACATACTGTCACCCTAGCAGTACAGTGTCCCCATAGTACTACTCGTGGGGGGCGATGAAGATTTTTTTTTTTTTTCAAACCCATAAAGGCCGTAAAAGCAATCATTTCCCCTTCTCTCTGGCTGCATTCTTGCAGTCGTTGAGAAATACTGTGAGAGTTGTGATTGGTCACACTTTATTTTGGGCTACTTTCTTTATTTCTTTATTTATTTAAATTAAAAAGTGATTATCTTATAAAATTTTGCAAATAAATAATCTTTCTTCGTAAATCTTGGCCAAAATTTATTTGGTTATCTTTTTAGTAAAAAATAATAACCCAAATTAGTTTATAACCAAAACTTATAATTTTTCTAAATTTTTTTTTTACATTTTTATTTTATTTTTTTTATATTATTATTTATGTTTTTTTTTAACATGCCATCACCCTAGCAGTACAGTGTCACCATAGTGGGGGATGATGAAGAGTTTATTTTTTTTTTTTTTTTTTTTTTTTACACTGATTGTTTTTACACCCATAAAGCCTGGAAAAGCAATCATTTCTCCTTCTCTCTGGCTGCATTCTTGCAGCCATTGAGAAATACTGTGAGAGCTGTGATTGGTCACAGCTTGTCACATGGTACAAGGATGTTGTGAGTAGCCCTGTACCATGTGACCTCTGTGATCATTCACAGATTTCACAAGTAGTAAGCAATGATGTCAGCAAGTGACATCTTGCTCACTACTATTCATGTGATCACTGATTGGCTAATCATGTGATCGCATGATCAGGACCTCACACAGTGGTCCCATACAGCGATTGGACAAAGCGGGCACCGAATCGTGGTGCCGCACGCTCCCATGGAGTGCGTACAGCCTATAAATACGGGTGCCGTTTATGAACAGCAACCCGCTCCTGCACTGCTCCTATCCGGCCGTTTATGTACATGGGCCAGACGAGAAGTGGTTAAAGCGGAACTCCAGGGTAAGCACATATTGCCTGAATACAAGGACCGAGTTACAAACATCCGCCTTAAATAGGACTCATACTTAAGAACGGAGGTAGCGTGACGTCACGCTGGTCCCGGAAGCTGCCAGGCGGCCATCTTGCTGCTCACCGCATGCTGCCCCCTACTGTCTGGTGGACATGTCAGCAATCCCACATCACTGCATGGCCAGTTAATCCTTCCCTATGCCAGCATTTCTCAACCAGGGTGCCCAGGCACCACGAGGGTGCCTTGAGGTTTCTTCAGGGGTGCCTTGGCAAAAAGTCTAAAAATCGCCCAAAGCCAGCAGGTGGAACAAGCCTGCCTTTTAGTTACACAAAGCCACGGGTTTTCATTGTGCACTATTATGACCTTCTAGCCACCAGCATCCTGACAACCAATGACATCATCAGTTGATAAGAAGGATGTTGGTTGCCTGCACAGCATCCTAGTTGGACCCTCCCCCGCCCCTCTCCATCAGTGCTGGGGTCACATTAGTGATGAGTGATGGATAAAAACTGAGGGAGATGAGAAACATTGGAATACTAGTCAGTACCAGTGTGAAAAAGTGTATTTTGTTTGGAAGAATAAATCCCCTTTAGCGTTGGGTGTCCTACATGTGTGGATGTGGCTGCGTTATATAAAACCTTTAGAATAGTTTTTCACATTTTAGGATGGGGTGCCCTTTTAAAATTATGGACAGTCTAGAGGCACCCCATTTTAGAATAGGGTGCTTCAAGACTGTCCACAATGTTAAAGGGTGCCTTGACTAAAAAAAGGTTGAGAAACACTGGTCTATGCTACCCAAAACTTAAAAACAACATTTTTTAATTACACTTAAAATGTTACTAAACCTGCAACAGTAAAATCAGTCTGTATATGCAGTAAAGCATGCTTGTTATACTCACTGTGGAACCTAAGGGGTTAATCCTCTGCATTGTTTAAAAATGATGTTTGATCCTGACTTCTATGATCCTCCCCTTCTTCCAGTCCCCCCTCTTATCTCTTGATAAGACATATGTGTGGAGACACTCTGCACATGCTCAGTTTAGTATGTATTGCTAGAGAGCTAGAGAGGTTTTTTTGTTGTTTTTTATGGGAGAGTGCATGTGATGAGCACAGGACCAATCAGCACTATCCAGACAGAGACAGGAGTTCTGCATCCTCCTAGAGCAGAAAGAAAACTCACCCTACAAGCTTTACCATGTGCTCTGCTGGACACTGCTAGACGTCACAAGACTGCTCTAACTGCTGATGAGGTTTTCATATTTACTGGAATAATTGCATTTCCATGTTGTGTGTACTGTGGGAGACCAGATGGAGTGAATGTAGGGTCCTGGGTTTAGCAACACTTTAACATATTATCCACAGGTAAACCTTAACCTCAACATTATGTCTGAATGTAAACTTTAACCTCAACATAACCCTACATATAAACCTCAACATAACCCCTACATATAAACCTCAACATAACCCCTACATATAAACCTCAACATAACCCCTACATATAAACCTCAACCTCAACATAACCCCTACATATAAATCCTAACCTCAACATAACCCCTAAATGTAAACCCTAACCTCAACATAATCCCTACATATAAATCCTAACCTCAACATAACCCCTAAATGTAAACCCTAACCTCAACATAACCCCTACATAAAAACCTCAACATAACCCCTACATATAAACCCTAACCTCAACATAACCCCTACATATAAACCCTAACCTCAACATAACCCCTAAATGTAAACCTCAACCTCAACATAACCCCTACATATAAACCTCAACCTCAACATAACCCCTAAATGTAAACCTCAACCTCTACATATCAACATAACCCCTACATATAAACCTCAACCTCAACATAACCCCTACAAATAAAACCTCAACCTCAACATAACCCCTACATATAAACCCTAACCTCAACATAACCCCTAAATGTAAACCCTAAACCTCAACATAACCCCTAAATGTAAACCCTAACCTCAACATAACCCTGAAATGTAAACCCTAACCTCAACATAACCCCTAAATGTAAACCTTAACCTCAACATAACCCTACATATAAACCCTAACCTCAACATAACCCCTACATATAAACCCTAACCTCAACATAACCCCTACATAATAAACCCTAACCTCAACATAACCCCTACATAATAAACCTCAACATAACCCCTACATATAAACCTCAACCTCAACATAACCCCTACATATAAACCCAACCTCAACATAACCCCTAAATGTAAACCCTAACCTCAACATAACCCCTAAATGTAAAACCCTAACCTCAACATAACCCCTAAATGTAAACCCTAACCTCAACATAACCCCTAAATGTAAACCCTAACCTCAACAAAACCCCTAAAATGTAAACCCTAACCTCAACATAACCCCTAAATGTAAACCCTAAACCTCAACATAACCCTACATATAAACCCTAACCTCAACATAACCCTAAATGTAAACCCTAACCTCAACATAACCCCTACATATAACCCTAACCTCAACATAACCCCTACATATAAACCCTAACCTCAACATAACCCCTAAATGTAAACCCTAACCTCAACAATAACCCCTACATATAAACCTCAACATAACCCCTACATATAAAACCAAACCTTAACATAACCCTACATATAAACCTAACCATCAACATAACCCCTACATAAAAAAACCCTAAACCAACATAAACATAACCCCAACATATAAACCCTAACCACATAACCCCTAAAATGTAAACCCTAACCTCAACATAACCCCGAAATGTAAACCCTAAACCTCAACATAACCCCTACATATAAACCCTAACCTCAACATAACCCCTACATATAAACCCTAACCTCAACATAATCCCGAAATGTAAACAAAACCTCAACATAATGCCTACATATAAACCCTAACCTCAACATAACCCCTACATATAAACCCTAACCTCAACATAACCCCTACATATAAACCTCAACCTCAACATAACCCCTACATATAAAACCTCAACCTCAACATAACCCCTACATATAAACCCTAACCTCAACATAACCCCTAAATGTAAACCCTCAACCTCAACATAACCCCTAAATGTAAACCCTAAAAAACAAACCCCTAAATATAAACCCTAACCAAACATAATTAAAATATAAAAAAAAAAAAAAAAATAACCCCTAAATGTAAACCCCAACCTAAATAACCCTAAATATGTAAACTCAACCTCAACTAACCCCATAAACCCCTAAATGTAAACCTCAACCTCAACATAACAACATAAAATAATAAAAACCAAACCTCACCATAACCCCTACAATGTAAACCTCAACCTCAACATAACCCCTAAAACATAACCCTGAAATAAACCCTAACCTCAACATAACCCCTAAATGTAAACCCTAACCTCAACATAACCCTACATATAAACCCTAACCTCAACATAAACATAAAAAACCCTAACTCAACAAAACCCCTACATATAAACCCCTAACCTCAACATAACCCCTACATATAAACCCTAACCCCTACAATAAACCCCTACATATAAAACCCTAACCTCAACATAACCCCTAAATAAACCCCTAACCTCAACATAACCCCTAAATATAAACCCTAACCTCAACATAACCCCTAATATAAACCCTAACCTCAACAAACCCTAAATAAACCCTAACCTCAACAAACCCCCCTAAATGTAAACCCTAACCTCAACATAACCCCTAAATGTAAACCCTAACCTCAACATAACCCCTACATATAAACCCTAACCTCAACATAACCCCTAAATGTAAACCCTAACCTCAACAACCTAACCCCTACATATAAACCCTAACTCAACATAACCCCTACATATAAACCCTAACCTCACAAACCCTAAAATGTAAACCCTAACCTCAACTAAACCCCTACATATAAACCTCTCCCATAACCCCTACATATAAACCCAACCCTCAACATAACCCTACATATAAACCCCTAACCTCAACATAAACCCTACATATAAACCCTAACCTCACTCAACATAAACCCCTACATATAAACCCTAACCTCAACATAACCCCTCATATAAACCCTAACCTCAACATAAACCCTAAATGTAAACCCTAACCTCAACATAACCCGAAATGTAAACCTAACCTCAACATAACCCCTACATATAAACCCTAAACCTCAACATAACCCCTACATATAAAACCCTAACCTCAACATAACCCCTAAATAAACCTTAACCTCAAACATAACCCCTACATATAAACCCTAACCTCAACATAACCCCTACATATAAACCCTAACCTCAACATAACCCCTAATAAAACCTCAACCTCAACATAACCCCTACATATAAACCTCCCTAACCTCAACATAACCCCTACATATAAAACCTAACCAAATAAACCCCTAAATGTAAACCCTAACCTCAACATAACCCCAAAATGTAAACCCTAACCTCAACATAACCCCTAAATGTAAACCCTAACCTCAACATAACCCCTAAATGTAAACCCTAACCTCAACATAACCCCTAAATGTAAACCCTAACCTCAACAAAACCCCTAAATATAAACCCAAACCTCAACATAACCCCTAAATGTAAACCCTAACCTCAACAAAACCCCTAAATGTAAACCCTAACCTCAACATAACCCCTAAATGTAAACCCCCTAACCTCAACATAACCCCTACAAATAAACCCTAACCTCAACATAACCCCTAAATGTAAAACCTCAACATAACCTCGAAATGTAAAACCTAAATGTAAACCCTAACCTCAAAACCCCCCTACATATAAACCCTAACCTCAACATAACCCCTACAATAAACCCTAACCTCAACATAACCCCGAAATGTAAACCCTAACCTCAACATAATGCCTACATAATGTAACCCAACCTCAACATAACCCCTACATATAAACCCAACCTCAACATAACCCCTACATATAAACCCTAACCTCAACATAACCCCTAAATGTAAACCCTAACCTCAACCTCAACAAAACCCCTAAATGTAAACCCTAACCTCAACATAACCCCTAAATGTAAACCCTAACCCCAACATAACCCCTAAATGTAAACCCTAACCTCAACATAACCCTAAATGTAAACCCTAACCTCAACATAACCCTACATATAAACCCTAACCTCAACATAACCCCGAAATGTAAACCTAACCTCAACATAAACCCCTACATAAAACCCTCAACCTCAACATAACCCCTACATATAAAACCCTAACCTCAACATAACCCCTACATATAAACCCTAACCTCAACATAACCCCTACATATAAACCCAACCTCAACATAACCCCTACATAAAAACCTCAAACCTCACATAACCCCACATATAAACCCTAACCTCAACATAACCCCTAAATGTAAACCCTAACCCTAACCTCAACATAACCCCTAAATGTAAACCCTAACCTCAACATAACCCCTAAAATGTAAACCCTAACCTCAACAAAACCCCTAAATGTAAACCCTAACCTCAACATAACCCCTAAATGTAAACCCTAACCTCAACATAACCCCTACATATAAACCCTAACCTCAACATAACCCCGAAATGTAAACCCTAAACCTCAACATAACCCCTACATATAAACCCTAACCTCAACATCAAACCCCTAAATAAACCCTAACCTCAACATAACCCTAACCCTAAACCTAAACCTCAACAAAACCCCTACATATAAACCCTCAACCTCAACATAACCCTAATATAAACCCTAACCTCAACAAAACCCCTAAATGTAAACCCTAACCTCAACATAACCCCTAAATGTAACCTCAACCTCAACATAACCCCTACATATAAACCCTCAACCTCAACATAACCCCTACAATATAAACCCTAACCTCAACATAACCCCTAAATAAACCCTAACCTCAACATAACCCCGAAATGTAAACCCTAACCTCAACATAACCCCTACATATAAACCCTAACCTCAACATAACCCCGAAATATTCAAAAACCTAAAACCTCAACTAAACATAAACCTCCCTACATATAAACCCTAACCTCAACATAAACATAACCCCCTCAACATAAACCCTAACCTCAACAAAACCCTAATATACATAAACCCTAACCTCAACATAACCCCTAAATGTAAACCCTAACCTCAACATAACCCCTAAATGTAAACCCTAACACCTCAACATAACCCCTAAATAAACCCTAACCTCAACATAACCCCTAAATGTAAACCCTAACCTCAACATAACCCCTAAATGTAAACCCTAACCTCAACATAACCCCTACAAATAAACCCTAACCTCAACATAACCCCTAAATGTAAACCCTAACCTCAACATAACCCCTAAATGTAAAACCCTAACCTCAACATAACCCCTAAATGTAAACCCTAACCTCAACAAAACCCCTAAATGTAAAAACCTCAACATAACCTCAACCATAAACCCCTCAACATAACCCCTACAATAAACCCTAACCTCAACATAACCCCTAACATCCAATAAACCCTAACCTCAACATAACCCCTAAATGTAAACCCTAAACCTCAACATAACCCCGAAATGTAAACCCTAACCTCAACATAACCCTACATATAAACCTCAACTAAACCCTACATATAAACCCTAACCTTAACATAACCCCTACAAATAAACCCTAACCTCAACAAAACCCCTAAATGTAAACCTTAACCTCAACATAACCCCAACATATAAACCTCAACCCTCAACTAACCCCTACATATAAACCCTAACCTCAACATAACCCCTAAATGTAAACCCTAACCTCAACATAACCCCTACATATAAACCTCAACATAACCCCTACATATAAACCCTAACCTCAACATAACCCCTAAATGTAAACCCTAACCCATCAACATAACCCCTAAATGTAAACCCTAACCTCAACATAACCCCTACATATAAACCCTAAACCTCAACTAACCCCTACATAAATCCTAACCTCAACATAACCCCTACATATAAACCTCAACATAACCCCTACATATAAACCCTCTCAACATAACCCCTACATATAAACCCTAACCTCAACAAAAACTCCGAAATATAAACCTCAACATAACCCTTACATATAAACCCTAATCTCAACATAACCCCTAAATGTAAACCTTAACCTCAACAAAAACCCACATAACCCCTACATAAAACCTCAACATAACCCCTACATATAAACCCTAACCTCAACATAACCCCTACATATAAACCCTAACCTCAACATAACCCCTAAATGTAAACCTTAACCTCAACAAAACCTCTACATATAAACCTAAAACCTCAACATAACCCCTAAATGTAAACCCTAACCTCAACATAACCCCTACATATAAAACCCTAATCTCAACAAACCCCTAAAGTATGTAAACCCTAACCTCAACCAAGCTTGCTTGTTACACTCACTGTGGAACCTAAGGGTAAATCGTCTGCATTGTGTAAAAACGCTGTTTGATCCTGTCTTCTCTAATCCTCTCCTTCTTCCAGTGTCCCCCTCTCTTATCTCCTGATAAGACATATCATGTGGAGTCCACTCTGCACATGCTCAGTTTGGTGTGTATTGCTAGAGAGGGGTGTTTTTTTTTCTTCGGAGAATACATGTGATCAGCACAGAGCCAATCAGCACTTTCAAGACATAGGTCCTCCTACAGCAGAATGAAAACTCCTCCTACAAGCGTTAACATGTGCTCGGCTGGACACTGATGGAAGTCACAAGACTGCTCTAACTGCTGGTGAGTAAAGGTATTTAGCAGTTTATATTTTACTAAATTAATTGCAATTCCTTGTTCTGTGTACTGTGGGAGACCAGATATAGTGAATGCAGGGTCCGGGGTTTAGTAACACTTTAAAAGATGTACCTGTTCCAACTTACATATAAATTCAACCTAAGAAACAAACCAACCTACAGAACCCAACTTGTTCATAACCCGGGGACTGACTGTATTCTTCTTTAAATCTTGGTGTGCTTTTTGGAGACAGGATACCCAGTGACATCGTAGGAAGGGAACTCAGGGGGCCCACTCTCTTAATGGTGGTTAGCCCTTAAAAGGGCCAAGGTGCAGGGTCTAAGGAGATACCTGATATTCACCAGAGCACCTTGCCAAGAGAGGTGGTTGGCTTTGCTGCTGATGGCTCCCAGGCTGTGGTCCTCTGGCCCAAACAGGCAGCTACCATGGACAAGGCACAGATACACAGGTGAGAGTCTCTGCAGTACTAGGGACACTGAACCACAGGTACAAGAGTCTTTTGCAGCACTGGGTTGCTCAGGAGGTCACACAGAAACACTAGATGCAGGCTAGAATGCATGGGGTCATTGGGACACTACATGCAAGCTGAAGTGCAAGAGGTTATTGAAGACATTGGATGGAGGCTGAAGTGCATGGGGTCATTGGGGACACTGGATGGAGGCTGAAGTGCATGGGATCATTGGGGACACTGGATGTAGGATGGAGTGTCATTGGGTCACTGGATGGAAGTTGGAGTGCAATGAATCATTGGGGAAACTGAATGGAGGCTGGAGTACATGAGGTCATTGGGGACACTGGATGGAGGTCTGGAGTGAATTGAGTGTAGGGGGTCATTGGATGGAGGCTGGAGTGCATGTGGTCACTGGATGGAGGTTGGAGTGCAAGGGGTCATTGAGGACACTGAATGGAGACTGGAGTACATGGGTCATTGGGTACACTGGATGGAGGCTGGAGTGCAGGGGGTCACTGGATGGAGGCTGGAGTGCTTGGGGACACTGGATGGAGGCTGGAATGTAAAAGATCATTTGGGGACACTGGATGGAGGTTGGAGTGCATGGGGTCATCCGGGACACTGGATGGAAGTTGGAGTGCATGGGGTCATTGGGGACACTGGATGGAGAACTGGAGTACATGGGGTCATTGGGAACAGCAGATGAAGGCTTGAGTGCATGGGGTCTTTGGGGGCAATGGATGCAAGCTGGAGTGCAGAGGGACACAGGTGGGGTTTTTTAGAAAGACCAAAGCACAGGGTCTAAAGAGCAGCCTAGTATTCACCAGAACACCACAAGGGGTCATGGGTCTTGCTGTTTTGCTCATCCCAGGTTGCGGCCATCTGACAAAAATGCAACTACAGTGGACAGAGCACAGATACACAAGAGAGAGTCTCTTTCAGTACATGGGTGCTGAACTATAGGGACAAAAAGGGTGACTGGCCTTGGTCTGTATCCAAGCTGGTGTCAGGAAGAGTGCTTATGGTATTCACTCATTTAGCCGAGTTGAAATCCCTTAAAAGGGCCGAAGCACAGATTCTATGATGCCGTCTGGCTAGGGTGCCACCAGAGCACCATACAAGGTGTGATGGGTTTTGCTGCTGATGGCTCCCAGGTTGCGTTCCTCTGACTCAAAAACGGCAACTACAGAGGACAGAGCACAGATAAATAGGAGAGAGTCTCCTGCAGTAAATGGGTGTTGGAATCAATGAACCACGGAGAAAAGAGTCACACAGGAACACTAGATGCTAGTTGCAGTGTATAGAGTCCCACAGACATACTGGATGCAGGCTGGAGTGCATGGGGCCATTGGGGACATTGGATGGAGGCTGGAGTTCATGGGGTCACTGGGACACTGGATGGAGGCTGGAGTGCATGGGGTCATTGGGACACTGGATGGAGGCTGGAGTGCATGGGGTCACTGGGACACTGGATGGAGGCTGGAGTGCACAGGATCCTTGGAAACACTGGAGGGTTCACAGGAAGGGGGTTTGGATACTAATGTGCGAACGCATTTCTAAAACAACAAGCTATGGTTGAAGGCGCACAGATACACAGGAGACATGTCTCTTATAGCACATGGATGCTGGAGACACTGAACCACAGGGACCAGAGTCTTTATCAACACTGAGTTTTTGGGGGTCACACAAGAATATTGGTGTACTGCACAGGGCTACACAGGAACACTGGATGCATGCTGCAGTGCACAGGGACATAAGCGAGAGCTTTTAGAAAGGTCAAGGCACAGGGTCTAAGGAGCTAGCTGGTATTCACCAGAGCACCCTGCAAGATGTGATGGGTTTTGCTGCTGAGATCTCCCAGGTTGGGGGCCTCTGACTCACCCAAACAGGCAGCTACAGTGCTACAGGGCACAGATACACAAGAGAGTCTTTTGCAGCACGGGGATGCTGGGGACAAGGAACGACACGGAGTTTCTAGCAGCATTGGGTTGCAGTACCTGGGGTTACACAGGAACAATGGATGCAAGGTGGCATGTATGGAGTTACTGGAGAAACTGAAAGCAAGCTGGATTGTATGGGGTCACTGGGGACACTGGATGCAAGCTGGATTGTATGGGGTCACTGGGGACACTGGATGCAAGTTGGATTGTATGGGGTCACTGGGGACACTGGATGCAAGCTGGATTGTATGGGATCACTGGGGACACTGGATGCAAGTTGGATTGTATGGGGTCACTGGATGCAAGCTGGATTGTATGGGATCACTGGGGACACTGGATGCAAGTTGGATTGTATGGGGTCACTGGGGACACTGGATGCAAGCTGGATTGTATGAGATCACTGGGGACACTGGATGCAAGTTGGATTGTATGGGGTCACTGGGGACACTGGATGCAAGCTGGATTGTATGAGATCACTGGGGACACTGGATGCAAGTTGGATTGTATGGGGTCACTGGCGACACTGGATGCAAGTTGGATTGTATGGCGTCACTGGGGACAAGGAATGAAAGCTGGATTATAGGGGGTCACTGGATGCAAACTGGATTGTATGGGGTCACTGGGGACACTGAATGCAAGTTGGATTATATGGGGTCACTGGATGCAAACTGGATTGTATATGGTCACTGGGGACACTGAATGCAAGCTGGATTGTATGGGTTCACTGGATGCAAGCTGGATTGTATAGGATAACTGGATGCAAGCTGGATTGTATGAGGTTACTGGGGGACACTGAATGCAAGCTGGATTGTATGGGATCACTGCATGCAAGCTGGATTGTATGGGGTCGCTGGTGACACTGAATGCAAGCTGGAGTGCACGGTGTATCACCGGAATACTGGTTGCTTGCTGAAGTGCATGGGGTCAATGAGAATACTGGATAAAGGCTGGAGTACACAGGGTCACTGGGAACACTGGATGCAGGCTGGAGTGCATGGGGTCACTGGGAACACTGGATGCAGGCTGGAGTGCATGGGGTCACTGGGAACACTGGATGCAGGCTGGAGTGCATGGGGTCACTGGGAACACTGGATGCAGGCTGGAGTGCATGGGGTCACTGGGAACACTGGATGCAGGCTGGAGTGCATGGGGTCACTGGGAACACTAGATGCAGGCTGGATTACACAGGGTCACTGGGAACACTGGATGCAGGCTGGAGTACACAGGGTCACTGGGAACACTGGATGCAGGCTGGAGTACACGGGGTCACTGGGAACACTGGATGCAGGCTGGAGTGCATGGGGTCACTGGGGACTCTGGATGCAGGTTGAAGAATATAGGGTTACTGGGGACACTGGATGCAGGCTGGAGTGCATGGGGTCACTGGGGACGCTGGATGCAGGTTGAAGAATATAGGGTTACTGGGGACACTGGATGCAGTAGGAGTGCACAGGGTCACTGAGAATGCTGGAGGGTTCACAGAAGCTGAGATACAGGAGACACTGGGGATTACTGGAGGTGCCAGGAGGCATAGGGGGGTTTGGCTGCTAGTGTGTAAATGTATTTCTATTACACGGAGTAGAACTCATGGCCGGGCTCTGATTGGTACATCGGCATTGAAACCTGAAAGCCTCTGGCTACACGGAGGCTCAGTAACCTGATGCTGGATCGGGGAGCAGGTGAGTGTGACAGCAGGGGCATTTGTGTTCTCTATTGGTGCTGGTAACCATTGTCTCCAAGACAGAAAATAATGGGAAATCAAAACTTTTACAGTTGTCACCAGAACAGTAATAGAGGGAAAATCTCCCAAGGGGTACATATATGTAGCACATCAAAGAGAACAATATACTGCAGTAAAAATTCTGTCTATAGACACATGCAACAGATTGACAATATCCAAGTCATGGGTTCTATATATCAAATGTACACATAGCATATCAAACAATGTAGATTCAGTCCATATTTCCATAATGATACCAGTAAACAAATATACAAAAGAGGATCCAGAATTTAAGCACGATCAAGGTGTATATAGAACAACAATAAATAGCATGTATTACCAGTACCGAGGTATGGAGTAGAGAACCCAAAAAGGGTGGCAGGCTTTTAAGTGGAGAAACCTTGCTACACATAACGTAGATAGTCTTTGTGTCTATGAGATAGGAGATCAGGGCACCTATATATATATATAAGATGTAAGAACGAAGATAATAATTTTGTGTGCAAACCTTATGATGAATCATCTAGTTGGGACCCCTGTTGCAGTGACAACTATTTAGAGATCTCCTCTTATTTCCTTTTGCGGCTCTGGGACATGAAGTGAAGGGCATTCTCCCCAATGAAATGCAGACATCAAAAACTAGCTAACAGAAGAACACAGGACTGTGGTTAGGAGACCTAGGACTGTGTCCAGAAAGACCCAGGCCTGTGCCAAGGAACACCTACAACTGTGCCAAGGAGGAACCATGACTATATGCAGGAGAACCCAAGATGGTACCCAGGAATATGCAGGACTGTAGCAAGGAGTTCACAAAACTGAGTCCAGAAGGTCCCAGGACTGTGCCTAGGAAGACACAAGACTGTGCCCAGGAGGACCCAGCAGTGCTATGCAAGCGTCATCATTTTCAGACACTTGAAGCTTCAGACAGTACAACTGTGCCAGAGAAGACCCACGACTATGCCTAGGAGGACCC